CCCCAAAACCCCAAAACCCCAAAACCCCAAAACCCCTTTACAAAGCCCAGAAATTGGTTAAAATTTATGAAATCTAATCAAAATTATTCCATTTTTATTCATTTGTCATTCCCAGTTCGTCCTCATCTCCAAAGCCGACACTTTTGATATCCTAAAGTTGCAACAAGAGCTTACCTCGTTAGGAGTGGATACTAAGAATCTGGTGTTTTCTGGAATAGAGGTTGCATATTGGATTTCTTTATCAATCTTATTGAACCCTTTTACGAACAACTTGCCTGCTTTATCAATTCAGTGCAGTCTCTTGGTGTTGATCTTAAGCGCGTAATAACTACCTTTCGGTTTATTGTCAGTAGAGTCTTTAACATCAGCCATCATATCTTCTGGTTTCACCTGCAAATCACTTCTGTTCCTGGACATGCCAGGAATCTTAGAGTAGATCTGGCAAGGATGAACCCCTACTGGGATATACGTATCACAGTACTCATCTCCTGACTGACGGAGACTTCTAGCCCAGTCAAAAACCTTCATGCTGAGATCTTTGTAGAGGTGAGCATTATCTCTATTTAGAGACTGTTTCTCGATAAACTTTTCAGATCGAGAAAACAAGTCTGCTTGAGATTTAGGTCTTCTTGACTTATTTTTGCATATTTTTGGCCTGTAACCTCCATTGCTGTTGGGTCTGGGAATACCTCTGCAGAGCAGTAGTGTCAAAATTCACCTTATCCCTAGTACCTGGCTTCTTGGTGTTCTGTGTCAAAGTTTTGGTATAATAAGTTTGGTCTTTCTTGACGCGCTCCTTTAGATCCTGGATAGCTCTTTTCAGCTTATTTATTATTAAAAAGGGTGAATTCTTTCATCTTCTCTTTCTTAGCCTTGGCCCGATGGTTTGAGGACGAGAACCTGAAGTTGAAGGTCTCACGGTCATTGATTTCTGAAAAGGCTCTGCTTACTCGTAGGCCTCTCTCACTACATAATGTGCTATAGGGGTTAGCAAAGGATTTGTACTCTTTCTTAGTCACTATGAGTGAGCAGGAGGCACTTACTCTTCCATTGCTTTGTAAACTTGGTCTTTTGCTTCTGCTTTTGGTCGTAAAATTTGCTAATTGTACCTATTATATTCCTTTCCTTAGGATTCTTGACCATTTCAGGCTTGAGTTTCATAGTTTTGGAAGTGAACACAGACTCTAAAGTGTAGGGAATCCTATTTACGCTTGGGAATTGGCTTTTTGAAGTAATTCTCTGTGTCCTGGATTTGAAGTATTTCATTAACTTTTGACCGTTGCTTTGCTAGAGAGGTAAGAGTAGGAGTATACCCGTCTGTACACGCTTGGCTAGGTATATATTTCGACTTTTGCTCATGTTTTTGGTGTTTAAGGGCTTTATTAATGTAATAGCGCTTTCTAGAGTAAGATATTAAAAGGTTTATCGATAAATGAGATGGCGCATTTTAATAAATGCCTCTTTAAGGATATTTTAGAATTAGTGAATTAGCTTCCACTCTAGTATTTGAATAAATTTGAATGCTCTCAAAATCAAATAAAGTTAATTTCGGACATCTTTTAAATCAAGAAAGCAGTCGAATTTTATCATTAATTTATTACAAGATACACTTGCATATTCTCAAGAATAAAATTGTCTTATTATCTCAAATTCAACTCAAACACCTCCAAAATCCACCTAAAACCCCACTTTTCGCACCAAATTTAATTCCAAACTCATTCTATCCATCCAAATTCCTCTCCTTCAACTCCTAACATCCAAATCCCTTCTCTCCCTCAATCAATTCCATTTCCCCTCCACTCCCTAAAACCTTACTTTCACCATTCCTTTCAACTTCTTTCTTAACTTCTCCAAACTGCTTCAGATCTATATTCAGGAACTCAAATCTGTTCAACTGCTTTAACCCTGTAGTAGTTTCTGACTTAAACAGCGGCCTTGAATCTAATCTGATTAGCAAAAACAATACTTTTGGGAAATAATGACATTTATTTTATGCACAATTTATACCAAATATATGGGGTTTTGGGGTTTTGGGGTTTTGGGGTTTTGGGG